GATCAAGAAACAGATTGGAAAGCAAATTTCATAATCAACAGTCTTGCAAACACCCTGGAAATGTATCAGTCTTAGTGGCATCACTTAGGTGATCTTGTCTAGCTTGCTACTAGATAATGAAGGAGCCAGTCTCCTGGGACACAAACACATAGACATTTATAAACATGATAGAAGTCAAAGATGTTTGGCAGACAGCAGTGACAAACACAAATTTATTTACGAAATATTTCACATATACTTATTAAATATTTCATGCAGTTCAAAATTCTTACCTTAGCGTGAAAAGTGTGTAAAAGGTAAAAAGTGCTATACTTTTCAACCTTCTTGCTGCTGTTTTTGTTTCATGGTTTATTAAATTTGTCATTGTGATATATACTGTTAGCTTGGTTTGTGCATTTAAAAGAATAATATCATAAGCTTTTTCTCTCTTAGTAACGTGTGTAAAGCCCAGATGACCTCTCCACAAGAAAACACATTTAAACAAAAACTTGGCAAAGGTACTAAGACTTTGTTTGACATGTTATTCCATCTGAGTGGACAAGTGTTATCAGGCCATACATTAACCAAGTCGCTGAGCCTTGATCCAGTTGAAGGGATATTACAGCTCCACCGGCTACATTCTACATTGCTTGCTTTCCTTAAGTAAGTACAGAATAAAATAGGCATGCATGCATCTTTTTTTTTTCCATTTTTTTTGATTAGCATAGTTCAAACATAATTCCAACTGAATGATATAAGTTCAGGTTTTCCTTTATACTGCATCTTTTGTTGTCTAAGTTTTCTGTATTATAAACTTTAATTAATTTTTACCAAGGTCGTCTTCTGCAGTTTGCACTAATTGGGGTGTCCTTTGGTAGGATTATATTCAACACAGAAATTCCACAGGAACTCTGCTCCCTTAATTATGAAAGAAGATGACTCTCAACTTCATTCCTTACTCAGTAGCTAGTCAGATCAGGTTTGTTGTTAGTGATCTTACCATTCCACTGATGCTCTTTGTCCTGTAATTACTGGCTTTAGCAAAAATTTTGTAGGCTTACTTCGTAATCTATTAGTCTTCCATATTAATAACATGCTAAGAAATGGAAGCACTATGCCTGCTGCTGAACAGATTTAGCTGTTAGTTACCTTAATTGATAATCTTATCTTGTCACATAATACTATCAAAGATGGTGCAAATAAAAACAGTTAAATTCTTCTTCATCCTTCTTGGCTGTTGCTATTGAAAAACAGGGAAGAGTATTAACTTCAGAGAGAGTCTAATGTCATGAGATCCTTAGAGATCATTAGAAGCCCTGAAATACAGCATCTCTGCTTCTTTGTAGCATCCTCATCTGGATTTCAAGAGGCTCTAAAGTCATTTAAAACCTGTCTTTTACATGCTGTTCTAAATGCAAGATTTTCATCTGAAGAATAATGGACAGTGATGTAGCTGTATCTGATCTCATACTGAGAGCAATACACACTGTTTCAACAACATTGGAACTTTATTTGTAACTTTCATCCATGTCCTTTATTTTAAAAAGAGGTGCAATAGCACTCTTCTTTGAATTTTAGATAATATGCAGCTGAACTGGAGGAACCATTATGGCAGTGGCAAAACAGTGTCTTTTGCCTTTCATCAGTAATGTAGATTCCTGTTTCTACAATGTCAACATCCATTCTGATACTAAATAAAAATTGATGGATAAATTACGTGATGTTTTCCCATTCTATCTTAAAGACTACAGTCATGAGGCAGTGGATTGCTGAAGAATGTCTTGCCATCATGAATTGAAACCTCTTACTAATACCACCCTGCTGATTACATCCTTCCAGAGAGCAAGACATTGAGTATATGACACCATAGAATCATGGAATCTTTTTGTTTGGAGTGTTTAAGATCATTGAGTCCAACTCTAAACCTAACTCTGCCAAGTCCATCACTAAACCATGTCCCTAAGCACCACATCTACACATCTTTTAAATGTCTCCAGGGATGGTGACTCAATCACATCACTGGGCAGCCTGTTCCAATGATTGATAACTGTCTGTGGTGAAGAAGAATTTCCTAATACTAAATCTAACCCTCTCCTGGCATAACTTGAGCCCATTTCGTCTTTTTCTATTGCTTGTTACTTTGGCGAAGAAACTGGCAGCCACCTCACTACAACCTCCTTTCGGGTGGTTGTAGAGCATGAGAAGGCCTCCCCTCAGCCTTCTTTTCTCCAGGCTAAACAACCCATTCCCTCAGCTGCTCTTCACAAGGCTTTTGCTCTAGTCCCTTCACCAGTTTTGTTCAAAACTGAGCACAGTATGATATGATGCCATGATGTTGAAAAGTCTAAGTAGATTAAAGAGATTTTCTTATTTATCTAATCAGCATATTGATATTTTTTCTGAAGTCAGAGTTCCAAACCTAGGAAAATCCTTTTTTGTTGCCACTGCCTTAGGTCTAGTGTTAAGCCAATTCTCTGCACAACTCTTAGAGCAGTGAAGAATAACAAGATATACTTCCTCTTTTGAATGCTGTTACCCCTGTTAATAGATAGATGGGTAACTACTTTTCAAGGGTGGAGTTGATCAGCCTTTCACCCTTCAGTAAGAGATTTTACTCAGCTTAATAGAGGCTTCACTTTTTATCTATTAGCCCTGATATTACTTCTATCTAGCTTCAAATATTTTAATATCTCTTCTGTAACTCATTGTTTGATGGATTAAGTCAGTACCAAAGAACCAAAATAACATAATTTCTCATTGAATGACAGTGATATCTACTGTCAATACTCCTCCAAGTTTGTGCATGCCACCCAATATTTGAAGATACCAGAAAACCTTCTTGGTTGTTATCAGCTCGGGGAAGCACTCTTCTTCATCCTGATTATGTCAGGTGGCTTGAGCAGACAAGGTAAACCCTGAGCACTTCTTGAATTTGGATAGGGTGATGCCTATGCTGTGAAGCTGAGAATATACTTTTTAATATGACCCAGTTCGCTGAGTAATTGCACTTGAGACAGAGTGTCTCTATATCTTCTTTATCTCAAGTTTCTTTATTGTAAAATGCGAATAAAAGCATTTATTCCTGACAATTAAAATGAACAAGTGGAAATTGTTGTTCAAGATATAAGTGAATAAATGAAAGTAAGTCATTAATACGCTTATATTAAGGTTGTACCAGAAATGTCTTCCAAAATACTTTATTTTCTTTGTGTTCTGGCAGCTTCTGGCAAGGAGGCAGTCAATTTTCTTTCCTCTTGCATACCTTATGCTTGAAGCTACATCTAACAAAGTCTCTTCAGAAGCTTCCATCAAAATATTCATCCACAGAAGTTTCCTTAAAGAGTTTTCATGGGCTACTTTAGGAGCACTCCCAGATAGGGTCCAAGTTCTCTCCTAGCGGAGCCTGATAGCTCTGATTTCCAGACTTCCCACTGAGATGTTCCAGGGAATCTAGGCATCTTGAAACTAGCATACATGATGTTGATTGCCTGCTTTAAAGCGATAATGAGTTATGGAGTGAGTGGATCCCTACCCCTTTTGCTAAGCATAATAGTGATTGGAAAGAAATACTTATGTCTTTCTAAGGTAGTTTCTCAGACAATTTGGAAAGCTATTTAATAGCAAAATTTTAATAAATGCCTTCAGTCTTGCTAAATTTTGTCTAACTCACTGACTTATTCAGAGCAGAATAGGAGTGGTAGCCAATTGGTCAATGCTATGTTCAGCACCCGAGCACCCAGCACCCTATTGATGACTGATGATTGATGAGATCTGATGACTGGAAATGAAGTAGTAATCTCTAACCATCCTAGCAAAATGATACAGCTTGGCAGAGAAAAGCAGTTCTAGCCGCACTCTTGTGCTTTACATGTATTCAGTGCTAGGTGATTAAATTGGAACTCAGTATGCGCCTAGCTTTCTATTTCCTGTTAGTTTCTGCCTCTACTAGTTTGTGTGAGTCCTATCAGATTTCTTCACTGTTCCTGGTTTATGGAAGTTTTCCTACTTGTGCATTTAAGGATCACCCAGAATATTTGCATTTCTTCCCAAGTTAAGAGTGTTTATAGATCATAGTACACGAATGTCTGATACCTGCATTGCTGGCATGAGAGTTTGTAATGAGGACACCTAGGGCCAGCCTAAATATGAATAATTCATCTGTGATCTGCTATTCCTACATGTTCATTCCACAAATTGTGGTTTGTGCAAATTCCCTCCCAAGGAAGCTTAGGAGATTACTCTGCAAATAGAAGCAGAGTTCTCAGCTTTCTTCCCCCAACCACTACCTTTTGGTCAGCATCGTTCAAATAAAACATAGTTAATCTTCCAAATTTTCTGCTTACTAAAGCCAATAGATATTGTTCACTGTTTCAAACAAAACTCCAACATCAGTTTTATTTTCCTTCCCTCAAAAAGTTTCCTTGGTACATTACTACAGCAGTAAAGGAAAAGTTTAAGTATTTTACAATACAACAAACTAATTTGTTACAAGCTGTGTGTCTTGAGGAAAAACTTCTTAACAATATGAAAATACTGATCTTGGATAACTGGCATTGTGTTAAATACTGATGTTAATGAGAAGGATTTTTTTTAAATTAAAAAGGCAGGTCAGTTTAACAATTAACAGTTTTGAAACACCTGCCTTTAAATGTCAGACCTGCAGGCAGATAAAAGCATCATCAAGTTTTAATTCTGCTAATGTTATGTAACACTGGTCCTTTGGCTTTCACATGGAAATAGGTATTATGTATTTTGATGCTTTGTGCTGTAATAAATCCTTTACGGACAAGCAATTCTCATAAAAAACCCCTGTCTTGTCCACGGTTGTGTGTGATTTTAGCCTTTAGTTGTAGACATAGGAATTGAACATGAATTTCATAAACAGAAGCTATCTAAAGCAATAGAAGTCAGGTAGAACTCAGAAGAGCTTACACATGAATTGAGCAAGTTGAAAAACTTGGACTCCTCCTACAAATAATTATGTTGCCTACCTCTTAAATTTTCCTGCTTTACAATTTTAGAAGCCAAGGAGCATATCTTCCTCATGTTATGCCAGAATTTCTGCTTGCACCTGGTGATTATAAGGAATGGATTAAATTACAAACTGCACTGAAGGTAGGTTTGGGACTTTTTGTGTGTGTTTCATTGTTTTGATTAATTTTTTTGTTATTTTCTTATCAAAGACTGTGTGCTTAGCATCAATCCTTTGAAGACTAATGGAAGTCTACTGTGGACCATGAATATTCCTATTGTGATGACTGTTTTGGAGTGCATAAATATGAGCACATGCATGAAGTTCAACAGAAATTTAAGTTGACACCAACATTTATACTCTCTTGCCCTATTTTTTCACTGCCATTCTTTCTGATACTGCTGACACCTGTGATTAATTTCTAACAGATATGTTTTCTCAAAGTAGAATTCATTTTACTGCTTTCTGCTGATTTAACAATTTTTTTAAAATATCTTTTTTTTTGCCTCTCTGTCCTGATTGCCGTTTTCAACTCCTGTCAGTTCTGAATTGTGCTTCTTATTCTTGAGATAGAACCATTTACCGTTTGCTGCTAACGCTGATCACCATTGGCACTGTAGAAGAGCTTATCAGTCATGTATGCCATTGATTAATTATTGTCCTCTTGTGAATTTCCCAGCCGAACTGGTGAAATGAATATCAAAAATAAATCCTATTCCTTTATCTGAAGGGTCAAATGGCTGAGTTGAAGAAAGGAGATATGAAAAACTCAGACATACGTAGCGACAAGAATCTATTCATACTGGAGGACAGCGTATTTGAGTTAATGAGCAAACGAGTTTGGACAGATGTGCTACTGCAGATATACAAGGTAAATTGTAGGTACTTTTACTACTTAAGTTCTGAAGAACCAATGGAAATACTTTGTTTTGAAAAAGATCTATGCTATATTCAATTCTTTTTTCCAAACAAAATTTTAAAACAAAATACTTCTAAGTATTTCATTTCTCTCTAACAGAGAAGAAAAAAATGAAAACTTTTTTGTTTTCTTAGTTCTGAAACTTTAACAATACGTTAATAAGTTTGTCCTGTGATGTTTAGTTGCTGGCTGCGGTTAATTCACAACAAGGCTTCTATTAGGAAATGCTACGTTAAAACAGTCTGAATTTTGTGGAATTAAATGTTATAGAAATCTTATTACAAATAAGGAAACCTCTGCTATGCTTCTTTGTTACCCTGGTTAGAAACACATTTCACTGGAAATACTTAGTTAACTAGACATATACATAACTGTGGTATATATTGTCCTACATTAAAAATGAATTTTTAAACAGGTAGTATTTTTTATAATACCTGTTTCTTTTCAGATATAATGAACTTGATCAATATGGGCTTCTCAAATTTTATTCAGTTCCTTTTTTTAATTTGGTTTTATTTTTACTGATTTTAGATAAAAATTCTGAATGTCTAAATCAGGTTTTCCAAAGTAAAGCTGATGTGCTTACCAATGTGTATGCCTAAAAACAATTATTTAATTATTTCTTCTAGAAGAGATGGAAAATACAGCCTTATAACATCACATTCGTCTTCTATGTCTCTCCTGCTAATATCTTAGGGATTACGCATTTCTGCTTTACCTTTTGTTGTATCTTTATACAGTCTGGCTAATCATAGAATTATAGATGTGGTATTCAACATAATAAAGCAGACACAGAACTCTTGAGGTAACATGACTTCACATCAGTAGTAGACACTTAGCATTCAAAGTCCTGTTCTCTCTTTCATAGCCTTTGTTCAAATCTATTTTTGATAAGGATGACCATGACCACTGCTGAATAGGGTTTATTTATTTTTTTAATTAAATGGCTAAAGAAAGCAATTAAACAATAAAGAAAAACAGGATATGAACTGTCAAGACAGCAAGATTGGTTTATACAAAATAATATTTGTTTGGGCTAGTGCTGAAGTATTCTGAAGTTAAGAGAATATTTCATATCTTAAAACCAGTTTCATTAAAATGAAAGTAGAGACAAGCCTTTTTGTGATAACCTGATTTCAAGCAAGACAAGATCATAGAATGGCCTAAGATGGAAGGGACCTTAGAGATCATCTTAATCCAGCCTCCCTGTCACCAGGGATGCCACCTCTCGACTAGATCACGTAACACATGGGAAGATGAAACAGAATCCTTTATCACTTACATAGCATGCTGCAAATTTCAGAAAATGTTAAAAGAATTAATCTATTCACCAGAGATATTTGTTTGATCCAATTTTATTTTAGAAATAAAACGCTGTTATTAGAAATACTTAATATTATTCTTTATCAACTAAAATGTCATCCCATATGCTTTCATGCCCATACCTGATGCATTGTGGTCCACTTCCCTGTTGTGAAAACTAATGTTGCTGGAGAAGTTCCATATACATAAACCTGGTTCAGAAAAGGGAAAATGAAGTTAGTTTTAAAGAAAGGAGAGTAAAAGGGGAAATTCCTCAATCACAAAGATATACTTTTAGTTCTCTTTTTATGCAAGATCTAAAATACTGATAGTATTCTACAAATCTTAAAAGTCTAGGCTAATGGAAACACATAGACACTGACAGCAGAAGTGGTAATTTAGCGCTTGAGTCAGGCCAGATTTTCAATAAAGACAATGTGTCTTTAATTTAAAATGAGCATATAGTAATAAGGATGCTTTTAACAGTTATAGTTAATAACATTTCCTAACCATGTAGCTACTTTGTAGTTGCATAGGTTTTTTAGTTCATTTTTTTTTAAATGTGCTCCAAAAAGCCACTGTATGCTAATGTCCTGGTCCCTCAAAAGGATATCAGTAGGAATGTAAATGCTAGGCCAAGGCCAATTCCGTGAATTTCAGTAAGACCAAATATCGGGTCCTGCACTTCAGCCACAA